AATGGGCCGTTTCCATGAGAGAAAGCCACTAAAAACTAACATTTGTTGATAACATTGTACTTATGTATTTTCTAGGAAAAATGTACGATGCTCGTTATAGTCATGAGTATGGGGTATCGAATGCTACCCCCACAGTGACTGTGTGATACCGTACAGGCAGACAGACAGACAGTCAGTCAGTCACTCAAATAGATATTCACCCAAACAAATATATGGTATGACAATCTATATGAGTGACTATCTAATTGAGTGAGTGACTGACTGACTGTCTGCCTGTACATACAGGCAGACAGTCAGTCAGTCACTCACTCACTCAAATAGATAGTCACTTACACAGATTGCGATACCATACAGGCAGACAGACAGACAGTCAGTCATATAGTCACTCATACAGATACTCTTGGCATACAGACAGACGCACAAATTCTAACTCGCGGCGACTTCTCATTCATACCGCTTTTTCCACTGGAAACGAGAAGTCACAGCGATGTGGACTTTTCCATCCCATGGAATTCTCAAGACCAAGCTAAGATTCATTTTACTTCAGACCAAACTTAGATTAAAGTATAGTAATATGTATGTATCTTTTTCTTATTCAACAATGAGTAAATGTTAACAAGAAAAACCAATCCTAAAGCAAAAAGATTATGAGTGTAAAACTGAGAAACGTCTTGAAATGGACTTACTTTTCTACCCCAGAAATAATATCAATTTTAAAATATTGACGACACCAGGTATGAAATTTACGATATATTCCAGCTTTCTTTCAAGCTGATTCATGTTTTAACACATTAATAATTGTACTAGCATGCAGACATGATATCATTGATTTTTCTCTCATTGATAATGACAAACCATCTTTATAATCTTCAACTTTAGCACTGAATGTTTTTTTTCTATTAAGATTGCTATTGTCATTACCATCATGTGAGTCGGTTTTAGATTCATCATTGACTACAGTATCGTTTTTAACACCATTATCACCATCAATAATAACTGTTGATAAATTATATTCCAGTGTCACTATTTCTTGTGAATTATCGCCCATGTTAAACAATTACAATAAAATGCGAGCAGAATGTGGCAAAAGAGTTCTTATCTATCTTTATTAAAACTTGTAATGATCAACAAGTCATCTGACTTTGATCTGAGGACGCCATGAATCTGAGTTTGTTCTAGTTCAACCTGAAATTAATCTAAGTTTGGCCTGAAGTAAAATGAATCTGACTTTTGCTTAGTTCAATCTTAGATTGGCCTTGAGAATTCAGTCTAGTCTCAGACTGGCTTGAAATTTTCGTTTTAATCTGACTTTAGACTAGTCCAAACCGAGACCCTAGTTTGGACTAGAACAAAGCTAGGCGAAAGTGCGATCGGAGTTTGGACTAGGTCAGACTAAGATCTTAATTTCGCCTAGATCTATCCTGGATTGGCCTGAATCCCAATTTGGACGCTGACATATATATATACGCATAAATTTATTTCTCCTTGAATGGAACACTTCTGTACAACTACTGAAGATGTGCAGAAGTGTTCCATGTCTCTTCCATGTGTCTTTTGCGCTTTCGAATAACAGTAATCATTTTAATTGCTTAAAATCAACAATCAATCGCAATTAATTGACGATTTTTCAAGAATCGCGATTAATTGTTAAAAATGCGCGATTTCGTCGACATGAATAGTTTTTTTGATTCAGTTGAAACGAAACTCGTGATGTAGTGAACTTTATTTATTAAAAGGGTAGAAGCGTTCGTTGTGAAGTGAGTATGTTAAAAGTGATTCACTTCAACAAAGAGATATACACCCGCGATAGCTCAGTTGGTAGAGCGGAGGACTGTAGATGCGACAAGCAATTGTAATCCTTAGGTCACTGGTTCAACTCCGGTTCGCGGGATATTCTTTTTTTCATGAAACG